TGGCAATAATCAAGATACTTGCTACAACAAATCAACACATAACTAACAATCCGTTGATTTAAATGTGAAGAATTTGACTTCTTATAAATAAAATCTTAATTTTGAATTATATGAATAGAAAAATAAATATTGAGAGAGTTTTTTTGTTTATGAGGTTCAATATAAGTTAATTCTAAATTAACTTGTTTTTTTTTATAAAATTCAACATAATTCAACTATAATTACTTGAGGTCCAATAAACCTTTAACATGGTGCGTTGCACTCATATATATATATATATATATATTTGTTTTTCTGTAGGGGTTTTACATTAAATATCCTCCAGAAACGCAACATTAAAAATAATTGCCACAAATAACTAGTAGTTATTTTGGTACTTCATTTTTATTTTAATCGAACATAATAATTTCCTTTCTTTCTTTCTTTCTCGTTTTTTTTTTGGTTTAAATATCACTTATATGGTAGTAAGCTTTGAATGGGGGAATTGTGATTGGAAATTCGGGACTTTGACTTTGGGATTTGTTGAAGCACACCTTCATACAAGAAAATTCTAAATGAAGCATCATGCTAATGCCCATTCGCAATTGTTTACCCTAAAAGATGTATACTATCACATAGTATTAAACTATCACACCAATATATATATATAGTATTATACTAATTTTGCTACAATTTTTTTGATTTTTTTAATATATTATTAGATTCTCTTATTTGTCATTTTTTTCAAAATAAGAGCGATTACTTATTACTACCACTATATATTTCTAATCAAAAGTAACAAAATGGAAGAATTGAAAGTCATACGCAATACACCTCAATAATATTTTTACTTATAAAATAGTATTACAAACACTGCCCATCATATGAGGAACCTCTTATCTGTCATTCTTTTTTTTTTTTTTCTGAACAACTATAATTTTTTAGAAATAAAAAAATAAAATAGGGTCAATAACCCTCAAACCTTAGCCAAATAGATGATAAATAGTACCGTTTCTATTCACCTCATAAGCTAAATTCTCTTATCTGTCCTTTGTTTTATGAACGAACCATAATTTTCAGAAAATTAAAAAAAAAAAAAAGAAAAAAAGAAAAAAAGAAAAAAAGAAGGAGTTAGGAATCCTCAACTCTCGCCTGAGTTGGTGGCGAGCAGCATGGCATTCACCCACCCATATCCTCAGGTTCCTCTTTACCTATCATTCTTGAAGTAAAAGCAGCGCCAGTATTTTGATAATAATATTAATTAAATCTGGTTGATTCTCAACTAATCACCTCACCGTTCACGTCACGTGAATGATTTTTCTTTCTTTTTAAAACAAAATTATTAGAGAAGTTATTGTAATTTAAGTGGTTACTTATATGTTATAAAAATTAATTTCATATTAACAATAGATGAGGGGTTCGAATTTTATCTTATGTTTGAAAAGAAAATATAAAACTATTAAATTGTAGGTGTGGGTAAGTTATGTATAAATTTATTAAGGTTATACAAATTTTATTTAATTTAGTTGGTAGAGTTTTTTTAATATGTACAAGCATTGGTTAAACACACTTTTTTTTGTAGATTTAATTAGACAATATTAAGTTATAGTTGTAGTTATAAGTTTTTTGTTTTTTAAAATTTTTAAAAATATATAAAATATGTTTTATATATTTAATATTTAATTAATATTTTATATAGTTTTAAAATAATAAAAAGATATAAAAATTAAAAAATAAAATATCAAAAAGTATTGTTAAGCAAAGTTATAGTAAATGATATTAAAAAATAAAAGTTTACTTTTACTTAATCATCTCTTTAATTAAAATTATTCATATAATATTAAAAATGAAATTAATATTGGTTTTTGTTATTTTTAATATGAAAAAGTATTTTACAATTTAAACTGTTTCAAATTATAAAACATTAATCATCTGATATTGAAGGTTTTTTTTTCTATCAAACGGCTTCTATTTTACCATTTAAAATAGTTTGGATTGTACAACAAAAAACCTTTTTTAATATCAATTAATATATATAAGTACATGTTTAATAAACAATAAAATAATATATTAATTGTACCCATAAGAATATATGTCAAAAAAATTTTGATTGATATATTATTTAGTTTGTCATTTTTTTAATAATTAATTATGATGCATAAAAATATTAATCCATAAATTAATTTTAAAATCTTTTTATATATTTTAAATTATATAATAAAAATTAATTATCTCTTATCATTTAATCCCTTTTATTTATATATATCATATAATTCGAATGACAACAATATAACTACTGAGGATAGGGTTTTTAAAAGAATTCATTGATTTTCAAGAATGAATTTAATAATTATATAATTTCTGAAATGATAAACAAAAGTAGCTAAGGTAGGAGAGCCTTACCTAATACAACGAATATGTGCATTAACAAAATTTATTATTCCAATTTGCCTTTTTCGTAGGCACACACATCGGCATGGGTTTCGCAAACAAATGGTGTCAAGATTTGGGCAAATATCGGCCCAAACTGAAAAATTTTTTTTTTTCTAACAGCGAAAGAATGAAAGAATGAGTTGGGCTTGAGCCTACAATTCGATTGTCTTTTGATTCAAAGCTTTGTATCTCCATCTCTCTTTCTCCACAAAATCCGCGTCCAAAAACCTGGAAACGAAGGCCCAAAGCCTGTATACGTCTTCAAAATTTGTCAGTAACCCGAGAGTCACCGTCACGACATTTATCCGAGGAGGAATTTTGTCTCCTCTCTGGCCGGAAATTTGAGTGCCGCCTTCTTCCCCTGTTCCAATCTCAAACATCATTTCCCTCTCTTCCTCATGTTTGTCTGAAAACTCGACGTGTTGGAGAAGTCCAACGCTCAAGGAAATGTTGTTTCGGTCGGCGAGTTTCTGCACCAGTGCTGGGTCTATCTTCTCCCCTTTCCAATCTATCACGTTGAATGCCACCGCGGGTCCTCGGTCAAACGTTATTTTTGGTCCGTAGATTTTGACGGCTGAAACACTGGCTTCCGAGTTTGGATGTCGGAGACTAATTAACGCATTCACCAACCAGTTTATCAGGCATTTTGCCCTGATGCTGATCAGTATCTGACCCAATGAATCTGCGTGATCCAAACCCCGGCATTCGAGTGCACTGTTCCTACTCTCAAAGGGTGTTTCTAGCTCCTTAATTTCTGATTTTGGATTGGTTCCTTCAGTTTTCTTTAACTGGGTTTCTTCATTCTCTGATTCTTCAGGGAGTTGAGATGGCCCTGATGCTGGGACAAGACTTACAATTCCTACGCCTGTAGATGTAGAATCCTGCAAAACCGAAGCACTGGATTTCTTGATAAACAGGCAACCAAACCCAGATGGGTTTTCTCCAACAATCTTAAAAAAGGAACAAATCAGGAAGTCGGGTTTGAACAGGGAGAGGCCAAGAGTTTCCATGTCTTTAGGCCCCAGCGCACACGCATCCAACATAACATGCCATCCGTTCTCCCGAGCCATGGTCATCCACTGATACGAGTACCGCGATCCGGTCACTCTAGATTGAGGTGGGAAAACAAACAATCCTCTGTTCTGCTTCTTCCTCTTCTTACTCACCATTTTTTTCCTCAATTTTGCAGTTTGGATTCCCAGATTAGGCAGACGGAACTCTGCCGAACTGACATGAGCTCCTTTCTTCTTAGAGCTGTCAATCATCACCTTCACTGCCTCGCTTTCATGGTCATAAACTGTGAGAAGATCTCGATCGGACTGAAATGGATAATACTCTGCCAAAAGCTTAAATGCAGAGGACTGGTTTGCTGTGAAAACCATGAAGTAATCGGATTCTGAGATATTCATGAAATCCATGATTCTTTTCTTGAGTTTGGATTCAAATTCTAACTCCTGGCTTCCATTTCCATACAGAATCTGAGAATTCAGCTTGACTGACTTATAAGAAATATTGAAAAAGGATGGTTCTAAGGTAAGGGATTGGAACGATGGAAGGGGAGAAGAGGATGAAGAGGCAACTGGGTGCTGACTTTCCATCTGAGAGAAAGAGAAAAGGCCATGGCCAATGTAGTCAAGACAGACATGTTTCGAGAGGGAAAGATGGTAATACTCTCGATCCCGAATCCGATCACCCAAATTTGTTTGGGAAAACTGAGGATACACTTCGTTAAAACAAGCAAATAATTCTTTGAAAGAAGGGAGGGATTCATGGTTGGTGAAGTAGGCGTTTGGATGGAGAGAAGAAACCGTGGCAACTACAAAATCATGCCGAGACGCATCTGCACTGCCAGGAATCACTGTAGTTTGAGACTCCGGAAGGTCACGAAAAGGAGTAGGACAACAACCATGGAAGCAAGCATGTGAGGCTTCTGTATTGCGAGGTGGAGGCATCGTTTTTTGCAAAGGTTTGTTTTCCCCATTCCAACCATCCAATAAAATTGGAAAAGTCTTAGAGGTTGGTTGAATGTGGCAGAAGCAATTGTTGACCATGTCTTCCATGGACTACAATGTCTACCGACATAAAAAAACTGGAAATCGAAGCTTCAGGATGATTTTGATCAAAGGATCAAAATCAAATTTAGATTAAAATTGAATGGTCTAGATAAAGACCTTTAAAGAGGTTGCAACAATAATCTTTGGAAGAGATAGAAGGGCTATTTTGGCACAAAGTGAAATTTTGCCAGGGCAGATGCTGATGACAGAATCCAACAAGCAGAAAAAGGCGAGGGAAGAAGGAATGGGCATGCACTAATCATGCCATGCTCCATGCTTCCTTGTGAACACCCAATTTCTTGTAAAATCACAACTTATAATGCTTTTTATTTTTATTTCTTATTTTCCGGGTTTAATTTATTATTATACTAAAATATGTCATTGAAGTCAATGTTAGAAAAAGTCAAAGTAAACCCCCATTTTTCCACAAGACTCTGCCAGTTGGGAAATTTCACGAGACTGCACCCATTCCGTACCCTGTTTGTTTCCATTTTTGATTTCAATTAGAAGACTCTGGCAAGGTGACGAGGTCTACCGTTTACAGTTTTAGGAGGTTATTTTTTGTACGTTTTTGTGTCTTTACGTTTTCTTAAGAGTCGGGAAAGTAGAACCAACTGGGAACCGGAAGGGAAGACTAATTATTTGTTGCGTGATGTCGAGGGCTGTTGTATGAAACGACTGCACATGATTTTTTCCTTTTGAAAATAGGCAATAGAGACTGCACATGAATTGATTCAACATTCAAAATTTCTTATGCCTTGACTAGTAATTAAGTAGGTTTTTAGTTTTGATATTAAACAGTACCTTACTGTCCTTACAGAGTTTTCCCATGGAGATACATCTGAGGCAGACTAGTAGGAAATTGCCGTTGAGAATGGGATCCAACCCCATGTCATTTCGTGCCTGTTAAATCTTGTGCTTCAAAACAATTCAGTCCCCTCAACATTTTGTAATTTTTCGCACCGTCTTGGAATCGTGCAACTAGGGAAGGTATCTTCCAAAAGCATAGGGGTCCATGCTGCCTGAATGACGTTAATTGCGTATCCACAGTAAAAGGGCACATACAAATTTTGTTATTATGTCTGCAGTCTCCTTATATTCAGCTATTTTGGTGACCAAGTAAACATCAGAGGAGATGAGATAAGAGTTACTTTTAACACGGATCTTGTGACAAAATCTTGCATTAATTAACTTACATCGTTTGGTAACATATTGGAATTCAGACATACACTGATGATATGCCTGCATTGCAGAAACTAAATAATGTTCAACAATATAAATCTCTGCCAAATTAAGAGAAAATGAAAGACGAAACATGGAAATCATTTAATCTTTCTCATTAATTAAGCATACTGCATACCTTTACATGAGGTGCAGACTATCCTTGGCAACAGAGATATATGTATACTAAGAAGAAGCAGTGATAGGGCAACTCTCCTTTGGCGGGTACACTATCAGGAAATGGAAGAAACATGAAGAGACCTGCCAAAGGAGAGAGGCCCTACAACGGCTTCACTTATCCAAACCATTTTCATTGTCTTGTGCCTCACGGTTTCAGTGCTTGTGCATTGACAGATTTATAAGCCCTGGCAATTGAATGAGTTGTCGAAGATGGAGCATATGCTAATGGATATCCTTTGGTGCCTGTTTTCTACGCATCGATCCCTTACTGCTTTCATTGTCTTAAAATT